CAGCCGCATCCGCGGCCGTTCGTGCTTTTTAGCAGCATCTTGATTCTTATCCTGAAGTAGAAATTGGGAAAAAGGGGAAGCGAAGCACAGGGGTCCGGCGCGGGTTAACAATTCGCCCCCCGGTGCTACAGCACTGCTGTCCCCCACTCACCAGTGGCACTGTCGTGGTGCCAGCGGGCGATGCGGTGCGACAGGTGAGATAACTCAAAGGACCCAGACTGGAAGCCTGAAGCAGCAGCACCCACACCACGAATAACACTCGGCTCCTCCGTCTTTGTTTGGACAGAGGGAAAGAAACGCGTTTGGTAGGAGCGGCGCTGGCGATGGAGCCTCTGGGGACACTGTCGGACCCTTCCTCCCCACCGCCGCAGCCGCTCCTCCGGCGTGTAAACCTCGAGTATGTAAAGCAAAACAGAGCGATAGAGAAGGGATTCGCACGTATCAGAAATTCATTAAAAGGCTGCTGGGGGAATGTGTGCGTGTGTGTTCCTCCCGATGCCTTCCAGATGCTGCGAGCATGGGAGCAGCACGGCACAGGGCTCCCGGGGAGGATGCTGTGTTTACTCGGGAAGGGGTGCTGAGGCAGGAGCAAAGACCCAGAGCAACGTGTGAATCGCTGCGGCGCTGAGCACAGGCGCCTGAGATGCTGGAAAGCTTTCCCGTTTCTTTTTGCACCGGAGTCGATCGCTGCCCGGGGGTGCTGGGGGCACCCGATGCTCCGACCGGGGGGTCCCGCTGCACAGCACCCAGCTGGGGCCTGGGGAGAGCACCCCCAGGAGCATTGCGAGGGTTAGAGAGGAAACTTTCCCAACATGCCCAGTGCTTTCCCAGCGTCATCATATCCTATGGAAACATGACAGCGGTGTCGGAGGCGGCGGTGTCTGAGCCCGGGAGGAGCAAAAGGGATTCCAGGATCACTTCAGCCGGCTCGTTTTGCTGCGGATTTTTGAGCTTTACGCTTTGTTTCGTGGCTGCTTTGCACGGAGAAGCATCCTAGGAGGCAGCCAGGAGGTCCCCTGCGTTGAGAACTGCGAACTCCTGACACACAGACACAGAAAAACGCAGCTCCAAGTCAGATGCAACTAAACCACGAGCCCCGGGCAGACGGGAGGAACGGAGCAGAGCCCTTGTCGCCAGCAAGCCCCTTTTCTAGATACCTCTGTGAAGCATAAAAAGTTTTTAAATAAAAAAACTATTAGCAAAAACCAGCTTTATGTGTCAGCACAAGGTGCGATACAATAAACCTTCTGCCTCCCTCGCACCTCCAGCAGCCGGAGGGAAAAAAAAAAAAACAAACCAAAAACCGCGCTGCAAATGCGTTTTGAAATCAGATCGGGGAAAATTAATTCCATAATTCACGGGGCAGATTTGTAACGTGTGAGCACGGGGCGACGCGCGGCGGGGGCTGCGGAATGAATTCTGGGTCGCCAGCTAAGGCATGTTCTCTGGCTTGTATCTACCAGGTTTTACGAGGGCTGGTAACAGATTCTAAAAATATGCACAATAAACTGTTTTTTCTCCCTAAGGGGTCGATGGTTTAATTATGTTCTTAGTGAGAACCATTAAAGTGCTAAGTACCTGAAGACTCCTAATTTACTAAACTATAGGCTACTAAAACCCAACAGAAGGCTATTATACACCAGAGCAAACGCTCTTCTCTGGGACTGTAAATGCACACGGTCTCTCCTCTCTGCCTCCTTACTGGTGTGGCATTACACAAACCCCGACCGAGGATTTAATCCCAGTGTTAGATATCCCAGCTCGGCCCAGGGAAACCTCCAGGCTCTCTTCCACGTGTGCATAAAAACAAGTCCCACATTGTCCTTGAACAACCCACCGCTCGGACAGGGCTGGGGACCATTGTCTTACAGCGGGAGCGGCACGACTCCCATGCAAGAAAGTGCACAGCGTGGGAGCGTGGAGCTGGGAGGGTAGGGAAGACCCTGACCTCTCAAGATCACAAACGAGGAGGAGCCCAGAGGTATAGCAAGGAAGTTTTCTGCTTTGCAATGATGGTTTTTATCTTCCTTCGCTCCACAGTAAACTGTGGCTGAGGGACCCTCTCTTTTAGCCGCTCGCTCGGCGGAGCAGCCCAACAGCTCAAACTCTTAAGGCGTCCTTCAAAAAACCAGTAGCAAGTTACGAGCGAGTCCGTTTCAAAGAGGTGAACAAAAAAATCCATTATTCTTCCTGTTTGTACGAGGCAAACTTGGATTATCTATTGATTCAGATAACCAAAAGTGTACTTGGCATCAATGTTAACGCTAAGGAGAGCCTTTCGAAACATCGCCCTGGGTGCCTATGGCAGAAATCTGGCCTGGTGGGAAACGAAGCAAGCCATAAATACTCCTACACGCTCTAGACACTACCATTTTTTCTCTCATTGAAAGGCACCTACTTAACCAAAATACTCAAATCTGAGTGCATTTAAGGGCAGAAAAATTTGAAAAGCAGAAAGAAACAAACAGCAAATATGAACAAACGATGAGAGGAAGCAACTCTTTGGTCAAAAGAACTAGGATTAACTTGGCGCGACGGACACTTCAGTAACAGGTTGTGGGCACCAGAGGCTCCAACAATCAAAAGACAAGGAAGCCTTTAACCAAAATACTCAAATCTGAGTGCATTTAAGGGCAGAAAAATTTGAAAAGCAGAAAGAAACAAACAGCAAATATGAACAAACGATGAGAGGAAGCAACTCTTTGGTCAAAAGAACTAGGATTAACTTGGCGCGACGGACACTTCAGTAACAGGTTGTGGGCACCAGAGGCTCCAACAATCAAAAGACAAGGAAGCCTT